TCCCTACAAGCCTCCAATTGTTCCTTTTGTGGCAAGAAGGCCTGCTCTGCCCCATGGCCACTGACTTGTAGGGTGTCACAGGCCTCTTTCTTATCCCCCATGCTGTTTTATATCTATATGAAGCCACTGGGAGAGGTCATCAGGAGGTATGGGCTGCAGGGTCACCAATATGCAGGTGATACCCCGCTCTGCCTTCCCTTTCCACCTCATTCCAGGGATGCTGTTGATGCTCTAAACCAGTGCTGGGAATCAGTAATGGGCTGAATGACATTGAACAACGTGAAACTAAATCCTGACAAAACGGGAGTTCTCCGAGTTAGTAGAAAGGGACTGGAGATCTCCCCTGCCTTGGATGGGACTACACTCCCCTTGAAAAACCAAGTGTAACGATTTCATGTTTTACTGTGTGTGTGTGTGTTTAAAAGTTTGGTTGGCATGGCTGTGTGAGGATAATCTAGAGTGCTGGACTCAAGCAAGTGATATGATTGGTGAGTGACAGAGAGGGGGAGGAGGTTTGGAATGGATGCTGTGTGGATGATTGGAATGTCTATCTGGTGTGTCTGTTAGGTATGACAGTTGATTAAAACAGTCAGTCAGAAGAGTGTGCTGTGTAAAAGCAGTTGCTATGAGTTAAGTGCTGTCTCTGAGTTTAAGGAGACTCATCCCTGTGAGGGAAATATTTGGTTCTGGGTAGTAAAAGAGTTAAGCAGTTTGTTCGTTTTAAGGTCTGAGAGAGAGAAGTCTTATGTGTGTTATGAAAAGTTAAAGCATAAAGAAACAGTGACCATATATGGTCTAAGGAAAATATTATTACAAAGTGACATGCCCTGATCCCTGTCAATAAGAGGGAAGAGTGTGTGAACATCAAATAAATCTACTTTTATTTAAGACACAAGTTCTGAACGAAATTCTTCCCAGGAAACACATAGTCCTTTGAAAGCCCAGACCCTGGGTCACAATACCAAAACCAGTAGGAAAAATATTATAGGAAAAGGTTGGGAAAACCTAAATTTCCCTGGTGGCAGCCAGAATACCCTACAGAGTAAAACTGAAAGAACATTTTAAAGTAAAACTAGACCTCCCCAAATAAGGGGACGTCACACCAAGTCTGCAGCTTGGGAGTGCTGGTCGACACAGTGGTCTCCTTAGAAAATCAGGTGATGGCTGTGGTTTGGAGTGTTGTAAAATAGTCAAAAGTGTTTAATACTCAGACTATCAATGGATCTTGCTCTATTGGAAAGAAGAGATTTCTTTGCTTTTAAAAACCTTTATTTCTAAGGGTAAAAGGTATACAGGATTACTACAAATTAATATAACACTAACAGCTACATTTTCTAAGCAGCCTATAGTCAAACACTAGCACAGAGATAATGGAGAATCTCTCCTTCTTCTTGACCCCTAGAAAGGAAGTCACCTGAAATAAACAACCAATCTGTATCACAGTAGAAAGCTACTTTTCCCGGGCTAATTCCCCATTGGCTCAGTGCCAGGTATCCCTTCCAGGTCAGTCTAAACAACAGCAACTAGGCAAACAAGTTAACCCTATAATGACTGAATTGTCAGACCTTTTAAACACATACATTTCCAACATGGAGTACTTTTGCCCAGCTTCAGCTGGTGTGTCAGCCGCACCCCTTCCTGGTTCAGTCGGATCTAGCCACAATGACCTATGCCTTAGTTACATCTGCACTGGATTGTTGTAATGGACCCTACTTGGGGCTACCCTTGAAGAGTGTTCGGCAGCTACTTTAGAATGCTGTGGCTGGATTGCTGATTAGAGCCAGCTACCGGGAGCATATGTCCTACACAGGCCTGTGGCCACAATTTTGTGGCTTGTGGGGCAAATGTTTTTTTCCTGGTGGGCCTGAAGTTCTCAGTGCAGAAAGAAAAGCCAGAATTCTGAGGATGATGCCTCAGCTACTGTGGAATCAAGCCTTTTAAAATCAAAGTGTAGAGGCTTCTGCAAATCTTAGCCCCAGAGTGGGACAATAGCAGGCTAAGAAGGGGGAAAGAAGGGGGGGATGAATATTCTGGTAGATTTATTTATTTATTTTTATTTAATTTTCGACTTATTATACGGCCTTACCCCTAGGGGTCTCTGGGCGGTTTACAGGAATGTTCTAAGAACTTTTTACCCTGTCTAAGGCCACATACTTGTAGGAGTGGGGATTTCCTACCAGATGGTAGGCATGTAGAAAAACACATAAAGGCCCCGGTCATACAAGAGGTTTTGGGCCGGGAGAGGGACGGATCGGGGGCAGAGCAAAGGGGCGCGATCCCACCACAACATCTGGGAAGCGTTGCTTACCTGTCCCCAATCCGGCCCTTCCGCCCAAAACATGGAGAAAAAATGAACCACCTACCGAGGTGGTTCTTCTGGGACGGCCGCATCAAGGCCGGCCGTGGGATCGCTGGCGCGTCCTTTCGCCGGTGCATCCCTAGTTCCTGGCCGAACTGTGCATGCTCAGACATGCGCAGTTCGGCAGCCTCCCCCCCCCACCGTGTCTTCCTCCCCGGCATCTGATCATGCCGGGGAGCAACGGCACCGCGGCTCAGGGGATCCGTGGGATCCGGCCGCGGCGTCTCTATTTTGGTGCGGCTCTAATTAGCCGCACTTTGGCCGGTGTTTTTCCTGCCGTGTGGCAGGGACCAAAACTTTATTTACAAAAACAAAGGACAGAACACATAGACAGGGGAATCTTTGGCCAGGATTCATCCTACAACCACAATCCTAATGGCTGGAGATTTTAATGCTAGAGTTGGGGAGACAAATGAGGACCCTTTTTCTGAACAGCTATAAAACTCGAATAAAGGACTTTCCGATTACGAGTTACAGAAGATCTAAAGACAAGAAAATTAATGGATTGGGCAGACATTTTGCATCCTTACTACTAAAGAATGATCTGTCAATATTTAATGGATGCAAAGAGTTTGATGGAAAAGGAGATTTTACTTGTATAAATCATTTAGAGGCAAGTGCATTAGACGGTTTTGTTGCTTCGGCTAACTTTTTCAGAAGAGTGGGATCCCTGGAAGTGAAGGATTATTTGGGAGGGTGATCATTATCCTGTTCAAGTATCATTACATCTAGATGCTTACCGTCTCTCACCTAAGGTAAAGAACTTAGCCCTAAACCAGACACATAACACCTTAAGATCACTGAGGGGGTGTGAAGCCATTGAAGCCAAAGTGAAAACACAAATGGACTTGATAAAAACCAGATATACAGACTCCCAAATAACTGAGAACATGGATTTTTCGTGGATTTAATTGACTTTTTCAAGCCTTCCTTGGTGACAGCAAAGCCCAGGGGACAGGGGACAAACGGTAGAAATAATTGGTACGACTCTCACTGTAAGGTGCTCAAAAGACCAAAAGATAGAGGAAATTATGCTGGCCACCAATCTGCTCCAAGCCCCAGTTTAAGGTTTTGGGTTTTTTAAAGCTCTACGTGGCTTGAAACTGGGCAGTCTGACGACTGTCTTCTCCCACATGTTCCTTCCTTGGGAATTATAATCACTGGAGGCAGGCCCGTAGCCTGCGTGGGGCCCTCGGGGCCCGGCCTCCCCCGTGGGTTTTGCAGGCCCCCTCCCCCGATCCTCTGCTCCCCCCTCCTCCCCCCCAGGCAGCGGAGATGATGCGTCTGGGGAAACTCTTCTAGGAGGAGGCAAAGAGAGTCTCTAGGCCCGGCCCGCCCTGCAAAGGAACCCTGCTTCAGTGCATCACCTCCACACACACAGGGAAGCTCTCCGCCCCAAGGAAGGCGCTGCAGGCACCCTCCCGGCTTTGCACAGATAAACGAAAGAGACCCACAAGCACACATCCTCCGGGGTCGTGGGTGGGGCGGCTGCGGGGCCCTTCGGAAGAGGGAGGGTCTCTCCCCAGCCTTCCCCCACTGGCCACTCCCTTACAAGAAGCCCCTCCAAGGCTGAGGGCTCCGCTAACTTTGGCCAAGCCCCTCCGGGCACAGACAGCAGTCTCCCTTCCTTCCTTCTTCAACCCATCCCTCCCCTGATGCATTTTCACCTCCTTGACTTTGCAGTTTCTAAAAACGGGGAATCTGCAGGGTTTGGGGGGGGAGTCAGCCGGGATTCAGGTGCGCTGCCCGCGAAGGCTCCCCCTTTCCCGCCCCGCCCGCCTGCTCAGCTTCTTGCACAGGAGGGGGGGAGTCTGCCCTCCTGGAGAGAATGAGGGCGGTGGCAACGCATGTCATTTCCGGCCAGAGCCTCCCCCCCCCACAGTGGGGAAGAGGGTCTCTGTGCCTGCATCAGCCCCAGACCGCAGGAATGGGTGAGCAGAAAGTGCATGGGGGGGTGTCCTAGGACAGCAATGGTGGAAGGAATGCAAGGGTGCAAAAGGCGATCCACAGACGGGGGGGAGGGTGAGCAGCACTTTTGGGCGCAGACTTTGCTTTGAGTTGAGCCTGACTGAATTCTGGGTTACAGCAAATTTAGAGTCCAGCGGGGCACCTTTCAGACCAACAAAGGTTTATTGACCAGGCTTTCAACTAGGAGCCGCCCCCACCAATGTTCCCTCTAAGCTGTAGAGTCTTGTGAGCAAAAATTCTACTTTGTGAGCTCCTGGCATTAAAGTTGCAAGCAAGCGATTTGGCTACGGCATCAATTCGTTTGCTCTGGAGCCATCGCTTCCTGAGCTGAGATAAAAATGTGTGAGCAGGAGGCTAAAAAACTGTGAGCTAGCTCACGCTAACTCAGCTTAGAGGGAACACTGGCCCCCACTATTACCAAGGAGGCCGGTAGTTCTAACATGTGGCCTCCACCACTGTGCTCAGGAAGACCATTGATTGGCAAACTGTTCGGCTGCAAGGTATCTCCAGCCTGCCATCTTATGTACCCAGTGTATCAGCACCAATGTTCCCTCTAAGCTGTGGAGTCTTGTGAGCAAAAATTCTACTTTGTGAGCTACTGGCATTAAAGTTGTGAGCAAGCGATTTGGCTGCTGCATAAATTACGTAGTTTGTGCCAGACTCCCTCCCCCCCTCTCCCTCTCTCTTCCTCCCACCCCCCTCTCTCCTCCCCTATTTCTCTCCCTCTCCCTCTTTCTCTCTCGCTCTCTCTTCCTCTCTCCCCTCCCTTGAAACATTTGTGCAATAAACCACTTGCATTTATTATTTAGTTATTATTTAGAAGTATGAGCATGGCATGGCAGTACCATACAAACATATAGTGGTGGGAAGTGTTTCCTCTAAACTAAGTTAATGTGAGCTAGCTCACAGTTTTTTAACCTCCAGCTCGCAGATTTTTGTCTTAGCTCAGGAAGTAGGGCTCCAGAGCAACCTAATTTATGCGGCAGCCAAATTGCTCTCTCACAACTTTAATGCCGGTAGCTCACAAAGTAGAAGTTTTGCTCACAAAACTCCACAGCTTAGAGGGAACATTGGTGATGGGCCCCCTGAGAAAAACATGGGCCCCCTGAGCAAAAAGTTGTTAGCTACGGGCCTGACTGGAGGGCACATGAGAGAAACCTTTTTCAGTGCCAGCCGCACAACCATGGAACAACCTCCCTAACCCCCTCACTGTCGATCTTCAGGAGGCAGTTGAAGACTGTTTAATTTATCTTATTATCTGGTTCAGTTATCAGCAGTCCAAACTGGCATTTTTAAACTGTGACTTTTAATTGGGTTTTATAATTGTTATTTTTATTGTGTTTTTATGATGTTTTAATTATATTGTCAGCTGCCTCGAGTCCTGCAAGGGAGAAAGGTGGCTAATAAATGTATTAAATATATAAAATAAATAAATGAGTCCCAATGCCTGTCTTCCCTGCACTTGCTTACCTTGCGTCTGTTTGTCGATCACAGCATTAATTGTCTGCCTGGCATCCTCTAAGGAGCCGTAGAAATCGACAGTTTGCAGCGTTGCTCCATAGATGTCCTTTGCATCCATAAGATATTGCTGTTGAGCAGAAAAAGTAAAAATAATATCAAGAATGAAAAGAATAACCCCCTACTTATACTAAGGTGTGGGAGAAAGAATTTAAGCAGACTTTAACTCCTAAAGAATGGCAGAAAGTATGGAACTCCTCTTCTAACAAATCATCTGTCATTCCTTTAAAGCTTCAGTTTTATAAGATAATCTTTGGCCCTGGTCACACCGGCCGGATATCGTGGGGGGAGGTGTGGCTGTTTGCCCCTGGGGCAAAATAACGCACGGTTCCACGATCAGACGTCCCATGGAGGTTCCGTGGAGGTATTGTGGAGGTCCCGTGGGTAGGGGGGAGGTGCCGATCACAGGACAATCCTGCGGCGCAGCAAAGAAGCAGTGCGGTGCGGCAAACGGGTTTGTTTTTTTCTGTACACCAAAGTATGTGCATGCTCCATTGGGTGCTTGTGCACATCCATGGAGACTTGGGGGGGGGGACTTTTTGCAAGGGGACATGGGCGGGCGCCAGATGCCAATGGAAATGCAACCAGACGCCCGCCCTTCCCCCGCGGTTACCGGAAACTAGTACCTCAAAGGTACTAGTTTTTTACCCCGCATCTTCAGTGGGAAGCCTCGGGTGAGCCACGGGAGCTCTACGCTTCCCAGATGTGGCAGTGAGATCGCACCCGGAAAATCCGCCTATCTTCCGTCTCTCTAGCGTGGCTAATGTTCTGCATGACCGCAGCCTTTAATTGGTACTTGTGCCTAACCAAACTTAATAAAATTAGATCCTCTTGTAGCCCACTTTGCTGGAAAGGGTGTACATCTATGATGGCCCTGTCCAGTGATCCAATCCTTTTGGGGCACAGTTGCTGGAAAAAAATCTCACAAATGGTAGACCAGGGGTGTCAAACTCATTTGTTATGAGGGCTGGATCTGAAATAAACGAGACCTTGTTGAGCCGGGCCATGTGTGTCATAAAATGTAATGCCAGGGAGCGGAGATAGAAACTTTATAAAGGACACAAACACAAAGGTGTTTTTTTTTTACTTAAAATAAAAACTTGCTTAAAACATTAGCACTTTTGCAATATTTTGCTTATTTAACAGTGTCTGATAACTGACACCTCTTGCTCTGAATTATTGCATCAAAATGTCTGTGCTGTTGCAATCTTGAGTATGCTGTTCAGGTGTGTATCTGTAAGCTGCAAACCTACGATGACGCAGCAGCAGCAAAACTGGAAGAAGCAGAAGACAGCCAGTTCCACTGCGGGCCTGATAGAAGCCCTCCGGGGGCCTGGTTCGCTCCCTGGGCCGCATGTTTGACACACTTGTGGTAGACATTTCTCTCATTATGTCTCCAGACCTTTTTATTTTTGATCTATGGCTGGATTATTCAATGGAAAAGAGTCAACGTTCCTTGGTCTCGATATTGATTGCAGCTGCACTACAGGTGATTGCAGCCAATTGGAAAAACCCAAACGGGCCTTCCGTAGATGCCTGGTTTGACAAACTTTGAGATGTTTATATCATGGGGAAAACAGTAAACAATTCTTTCTTTATTAGTTCCCAGTTGTCTTTTTCACCCTGTGATTATGATGAAAACTGGAAGCCAGTTATTGGGTTTCTGAGACACAATGAAGTTCTTCCGTGTAGAAATGATTACATAATCTGGTTAAAATTGTAAGGCTATTGCAAGCATGCATCAATATGAGTTGTTTTGTGGGTGTATGAAAATCATACGAAAACCTAGGTTTGCTGGGAGTATCTATCAGTCGATAATGTTATAATAGTTTTATTTTTGGATTGCTCTTTTTTGTGTACTTAACCATTAATAAAGTAACATTTAAAAAAATGAAAAGGATACTGCTGTCTTTCTAGATGTTTCTCTGTTGGCTCTTTAGCATAAGAATTTGGTTATGGGTTCTTAGGTTCAGGCTCAAAATTGGGGGGGGGGATCAGCCTCTAGATATAGGAAGTTTCCTATTTGCAGGGCCAGCATAACAGTTATGTCTAGGAAGTGAGAGAGCACATACCTGAAAAAATTCATATCCTCTTTGTGCAAACAAATTGTTTGCGAGACTCAGCAGGTAACCATCTCCAAGGTTATTCAGTTGAGAAAGGAGGTTCTTGAACTGTAAGTTGATTCCTCCATCCTAAGCACAATAGGAAGGAAAAGATTTTTAAAATACATGAACGTTTCCCTAGATATTAAAACGTTTGACCACATAGTACATAGTAAGTAAAGGTAAAGGTTCCCTTGCAGTACATAGTACAGCAAGGTTAACCAGAAAAGAGTTAACTTTTATTGAAGACTTAAAACAACATTGGAGTGATTCAGGTACATAGATATAACATTTCTTATCCCCTGAAGTTTTTATCCTTAACTTGATTTGTGCTTTCAAGTCTACTTGCTACACGTTATCTTTCTTTCGGCCAGCTTCAGGTTACTATTTTCTCACTCACTGGCTCAAGATGTTACCTTCCTTCTACACAGCTCTAGCTCTAGCTGACATAGATAGGCTGCAGTCACACGGAGCATTAGGCACACTAGAGAGACGGAAGATAGGTGGATTTTCAGGGTGCGATCTCACCACCACATCTGGGAAGCGTAGAGCTCCCGTGGCTCACCCAAGGCTTCACTCCGAAGATACGCTGTAAAAAACTAGTACCTCCGAGGTACTAGTTTCCGGAAACCGCGGGGCAAGGGCGGGCGTCTGATCGCGTTTCCAGTGGTAGTTCCGGCGCTCGCCCAAGTCCCCTCACAAAAAGTTTTTTTCCCCAAGTCTCCACGGATGCGCACAAGCACCCAATGGAGCATGGGCACACGTCAGTTTTTTAAAAACCCCACAACCCCGTTTGCCCCACCCCGCTTCTTTGCCGCACCACAGGATTGTCCTGTGATTGGCACCTCCCCCCTAACCACGTGACCTCCACGGGAGGTCTGATCGCGCAACCGCGTGTTATTTTGCCCCGGGGCAAACAGCCACGCTCCCCCCCCCCGCATTTTCCGGCCCGTGTGACCGGAGCCATAGATAGTTTATTATGGCATCAAGCCAGTGAATCAGCAGAAACACACCAACTTTATCAAAAATGGCTAAAAAGTACACAAAACATATAAGAATGCATAAAATAAAGTAACAACCAATAGAAATTGCATAAAATATAAGTCAAAAGATCAGCTTAAAACTGAGACATGATTAAGCGGGCTTTTCTAATACAACAGCAAACGGGGCAGGATTTGGCAACTGCCTTAGAGGTAAACTGATTTTCATCTGACAGCATGTAGTTTCTATAATCAGATTCCGTCATATTGGGACTTGGTTTTGCAATAGGCTCAAGACATTTGGAGCGGACCGCCTTATACCAGGGACACCTGAGGATCAGTGCTCCCTCTAAGCTGTGGAGTCTTGTGAGCAAAACTTCCGCTTTGTGAGCTACTGGCATTAAAGTTGTGAGCGAGCGATTTGGCCGCTGCACAGTTTAGTTTGCTCTGGAGCCCCCTCCTTCCTGAGCTAGGACAAAAATGTGTGAGCTGGAGGCTAAAAAAGACGGTGAACTAGCTCACACTAACTCAGCTTAGAGGGAACACCACTGAGGATCATATGCATGATAGTTTCAACTTCCCTAAGCCACATTTGCTATACCTTTGTGCAAAGGGAATTCCCTTGTACCTACCCTGGAGCACCGCTGAGGGGAGCACTGAACACCTGGCCAAAGTGAAGGCTTTTCTGCACTTATGTACATCAAGATGGACAAGGAAAGCAGAATAAGCGGCACAGTATTTGGTTCACACAGGCGCTCTAAAAGTTGGATATCTAGCCAGATCAGACCGCCTCTCAATGCCGGTTATTCTTTCTTTCGCGATTGCCCTATCCCAGCTGACTTAATGGTTCTGGGTTGCCCAGTCTCCAGCCAACATTCCATCAGATTTTATTGGCCTTTGGATTCTAAATCAAATCACTGGAAAAGGCAGTCATGCTAGGGAATGTTGAAGGCGCGAGGAAAAGAGGAAGACACAACATGCGATGGATGGCCTCGGTCAAGTAAAGCCACAGTTTGCAAGGCCTGAGCGAGACTGTTAACGATACACCATTTTGGAGATCATTCATTCAGAGGGTCACCCAGGGCTATTTTTGGGCAGGAACGCACAGGAAAGGAGTTCCGGCTGGCTCCCGAGTTGGCCACGCCCAGCAGGAACTCATTAGCATCATAGGCCACACCCAACAGCAGAAACTCATTAGGATTGGCTACAATTAGGGGTGTGTGGCCTAACATGCAAAAAGCCCTGGGTTTTGACAACAAACAAGGTAAAGAGAATAAGAAGCAAAAGGTAGGTGTGGCTGGACGACCACACTTCTGGTAACATGGGGGTGTGGCCTAATATGATAATGAGTTCCTGCTGTTGGGTATGGACTATTATGCTAATGAGTTCCTGCTGGGCTTTTTCTACAAAAAAGCCCTGGGGTCACCATAAATCGGAAGCGACAACTTGATATGCTAACACGCAAGAAAGGAAAAGGTTAGCAACCCTAACCAAACTGAACACAGTAAATGGCACAAGAAACTGAATCCTGTTAACTTTGTTTTGGGCATACCATTGGACAGGGAGGGTCATTCTCCCTTTGGAGTCCTGATGTAACTGCGGGCAATCTTCTCTCTGAGGAAGCGGTTCTCCTGCCTTCTACAGTCTTGTCAAAGTGGAGCACCTACACCAGAGAGCAATCATAAGCAATATTAAAACTTCACCAGAATGGGGGAAACCCATATGTATGACAAGAGAGACAACAGATAAAAAGATCATTACCGCCAAGGCTACCCGTATCTTAGCCTTACTTACAAGTAAAAGTAAAGGTAAAGGTTCCCTTGCTTGAAAGCCAGTCGAATCCGACTCTAGGGTTGCGGTGCTCATCTCCGTTTCAAAGCCGAAGAGCCAGCGCTGTCCGAAGACAATTCAATGGTCATGTGGCCGGCATGACGAAACACCAAGGCACACTGAACCTTTCCACTGAAGTGGTACCTATTTATCTACTTGCAATTTCTTGCTTTCGACCTGCTAGGTTGGCAGGAGCTGGAACTAGAGACGGGAGCTCACTCCGTCATGCGGCACCCGGGTCTCGAACTGCTGAACTACCGACCTTCCACAGCCTGCAGTTCAGCGTCTTAACCACTTGAGCCACCGCAGCTCCTTACTTACAAGTACTGGGATTTAATTTTTAAAGGCAGGATATAAATACGGTAAGTGAATTTTAAAAAATTAATTCCTGGGCCATGCCAATGGCCTTTTTTCAATAGAAGGCTATCAAAGATATGTTCAGAGTAGCATTTGAAAGCATCATAAAGGCCCCGGTCACACGGGCCAGAAAACGCAGGGGAGAGGCATGGCTCTTTGCGCCGTTGCAATCTGATGCGCAATTAGGCGATCAGACTTGACGGCGGCACACCGGGGCTTACACCGTTGGTGCGCGCAACAAAGAGGACGCCGGCGCGATCACACCACAGGAGTCCAGAGGCCGCCCGTGGCAAACCATTTGCTGGTAGGTCGATCCTACGCGGCTTCGGCAGCTTGCTGCGGGTTGGCCATGGGAGTGCTACGCCTCCCAGATGTTCCAGTGAGATCGCGCCCGGAAAATCCGCCGGAGTACCGTGCCTTCAGCGGGGCAAATGCTCTGTGTGACCGGGGCCTAAGGCATATTTTTAATGAGCAAGGGACACCTGTGATTTCAGAGGCTGGTATCAAAGGTATCAGAATATTGCGTAGCTGGTCTCTCTGAATAAAGCATTTAAAAGTTAAACGCCACAAGAAGAAGAAGAAGAAGAAGAAGAAGAAGAAGAAGAAGAAGAAGAAGAAGAAGAAGAAGAAGAAGAAGAAGAAGAAGAAGAAGAGGAGGAGGAGGAGGAGGAGGAGGAGGAGGAGATTGGATTTATACCCCGCCCTTCACTTGGAGTCTCAGAGCGGCTTACAAACTCCTTTCCCTCCCCCTCCCCACAACAGACACCCTGTGAGGTAAAAGAAGAAGAAGAAGAGATTGGATTTATACCCCGCCCTTCACTACCCAAGGGAGTCTCAGAGGGGCTTACAAACTCCTTTCCCTTCCCCTCCCCACAACAGACACCCTGTGAGGTAAAAGAAGGAGAAGAGTTTGGGTTTATACCCCGCCCTTCACTACCCAAGGGAGTCTCAGAGGGGCTTACAAACTCCTTTCCCTTCCCCTCCCCACAACAGACACCCTGGGAGGTAAAAGAAGGAGAAGAGTTTGGGTTTATACCCCGCCCTTCACTACCCAAGGGAGTCTCAGAGCGGCTTACAAACTCCTTCCCCTTCCCCTCCCCACAACAGACACCCTGTGAGGTGGGTGGGGCTGAGAGAGCTGACACAAACTGCTCTTTTTCAAGGACAGCTGTGCCAGAGCTTGTGACTGACCCAAGGTCACATCAGCAGGTGCGAGGGGAGGAGTGGGGAATCAAACCCGGTTCTCCCAGATTAGAGTCCGCGCCCTTAACCACTACACCAAATTGTATTGACACAATATAAAATACCTCATCCTTTTTTGACTTATTTTAGAAACTGTGTAAATGGGGAAAACTCTAATGAACAACTTGTCAGGGCTGACAGGGACCTTGCCAAGCTCCTTTGGATCTGAGTCTCTTTACTTGGGAGAAAGGGCACAGCTACTCGTGACTTCAGCAACATTCAGACAACATATTTAGGGTCAAAGTAACATAGGAGTTGCGGTGGCTCAAGGGGTTAAGACGCTGAACTGCAGGCTGTGGAAGGTCGGTAGTTCAGCAGTTCGAGACCCGAGTGTGCTGCATGACGGAGTGAGCTCCCATCTCTAGTTCCAGCTCCTGCCAACCTAGCAGTTCTAAAGCAAGAAATTGCAAGTAGATAAATAGGTACCACTTCGGTGGGAAGGTAACAGCGTTCCGTGCGCCTTGGTGTTTCGTCATGCCGGCCACATGACCACGGAAAAATCTTCGGACTGCGCTGGCTCTTCAGCTTTGAAAAGGAGATGAGCACCGCAACCCTAGAGTTGGACTTGACTGGTTTTCGAGCAAGGGAAACCTTTACCTTTACTTACAGAGGAAGGGAACAGGAATGAGCATACCAACCTGGCCCCCTGCTTATACACACAGTCACTGGGGCATGAGCAGGACAACTACCCATATAGAAATCACATGCACACTGGCTCTATTCCCATTATTGAGTACACTGACTTTTTGAATATTTCTGGTCATGAGGGTAGAGATTACAGATAAACAGTGTGCATGTATACAGGAATACCTGGAGACTTTGGGGGTGGTTCTGAGAGAGGGTGGGGTTTGGGGAGGGGAGGGGGCTCAGCAGCGTACAATGCCATAGAGTCCACCCTTCAAAGCAGCCATTTCCTCCAGGGGGAAATTAGGGCACACCAAAGAAAATTACTCTTCTATATCTTTAACACACTTCGTTGTATTATTATAAGAAATTTCCTTGTAACAAATTTCCTGTATTAACTAGCATTCATTCATTATATATGAAGTACGTTTCATGAACATAAGCAAAGCCAGTAAATGATAATATGAGTACAATACAAAACGATACAACATCTTGATGTACTTATTCTTGACGTTGCTTTGGCTGAGCTCTTTACTCTTTGAGACATCCCGACGGAGCTGTAAAGTGTGCAAAGCAAACTGAGAAGTCCTCGTTATACGAGTTCCTGAACAGTGTTTATCATTCCTTCATTTGAAAACATGTAGCTCCAAGGAATGTTAGAGATAAAGAGAACCCGCTTTCCTAGGATTGAACAGTGGTTTCGTATGTCTTATTCAACTCTATCTCTAATAGCGTACCAAATCCGCTTCAAGGTGCTGGCTCTTACCTTTAAAGCCCTATATGGCCAGGGTCCGACATACCTACGGGACCGCCTTTCCCCGTATATACCCCAGAGAGCACTACGGTCTGGGTCTCAAAATCGGCTGACCCTCCCTGGCTCGTGGGAGGCCAAGCTAGCTATTACCAGGGCCGGAGCCTTTTCAGTGGCGCCCCCTACCTGGTGGAATGAGCTCCCAGAGGAGATCAGGGCCCTGCGGGACCTTTTGCAGTTCCGCAGGGCCTGCAAGATAGAGCTCTTCCGCCAGGCATTTAATTAGGGGCCACCGCTACTGCAGGCCACTATTGCAGGCCGTTACTGCAGAGCTCTGGTCTGTGATTTTAACATCCAACTGATTATGAGCAGAAACATCGTGGAACATCTGGGCAGTGGAAATTTACTCTGAAAATATACCATCTAGGTTAATTTTTAACTGCCGCCAGCACTTTGTATTTATATTGTTTTATTTAAATTTGATAATAAATAAATAAATCTCTCAGTTGGTATTTGTCACCAATCTCTTGCCATGACACTAGCAGGAATAAACCTCTCTCTAATAATAATAATACTTTAAATGTATTAATCGCTTTCCCCAGTGGGCTCAAAGCGATTTACGGTTACACATTATAGACAGGGGGCTAACAATGTTCATAGGGGATAGGGAAGACAACATATATTCATTTAATTAAACATGCTGTCACTGCACGGTGTAAACGTTTTCTGGCTTGGCTCAGTCATTTTCCAAACGGCTGCTTGTCGACCAGGCTTCAGGACCTGTACGTCAAATCGCCACACTGCCACAGCCTGGCCTGAGACATCCACTGCAGGGATTTTTGTAGCCGAGAAGTTCTTCCGCCTTTTTTCCAAACCTCAACCAGGACATCCCGACCGTCAGCTAACACCTTCCCACAAGGGAGATTGGCGTGCCCACCCTCTCTAAGGAGTGGTTCCCATTTTTATCTACTCGCCGAAGCTTTCAAATCACTGGGTGGACGATGAGCTGGGGACAACAGTCTGGCTGCTCACACCAGCGCGGGGCTCGAACTAACACAGTTCAGATGTTAAGACAGTGGGATATACCCACTGTGCTA